AGGAAAATGTTAAAAGGAATAATTCCATAAAAAATAGAAAAGAAAATACAATGTCCCGTGGGAGGGTAAAAGCAGTTACTAGTAAGCTTAAATAATATTCTTGGCCGCCTTTATTATGTCTCTTTTGTTCATTTATTCAGGAATTGAGTCTCTATTTCTGCAAAAAGTTGCTCAGCTCCTTTGAAAAAATTAAGTGAAATTACCAAAATGACCTTCTATTTTTTATGAAGAAAGACATTTATTCATTCTTTGTAAAATGAGGTCATTTTACAAATAAAAATTTTTAAAAAGTTATTAGTACCCATTGAAAAAATTAAGTGGATCCATATAGGCCACACTATAAGTGAGGGGAGTGAAAACTTGGTGAATGTTCAGTGAGAGACTACTTCAGGTTTTTTTTATGTACTCAATGGTACTCTAAATTATTCCTATAACCAAAAGGTTAAGAGACATAACGTGCACTTGCAAAAAAAAATAATAATAATAATAATAATAATAATAATATCCCCAAGAGTATATTGTGTCACCATATATATGTAGCAATATCCATTTCAGTGGAGAGAATTTACTAAAAAACTAAATAATTAAATAATATTTCAAAACAACTTCTAAATCCAATCAATCAGGACATTCATTAATATTAGCAACATTCCGACATATAAAAAGAATTATATTTATACCTACGTTTAGTGATGGAATTCTGATTAACTTTTTATTATTGTTATTAGTTTATGTATTTTCTTATTGTGCTCTACTGAAAGTGCATCTTTTTTCTTTTTGAAGGCAGTACAGGCTTATATTATAATAGGACATAAATAGGACATAAATTTAACTATTATATTTATTGTTTATTAGAAAAATAATTTTGTAAAGTAGATAAATAAGTTCTAAATAATCATAGAGTCTATTAATTATAGTTTAAAAGATATAGAGAGTTATGAAGAAGGAGTATAATAATTTTAAAAGGTTATAAATAATGATAAATATTTTATTTCTTATTTGAAAAATATAGCACAAGAAAATGATAATTAATTTGCCTGACAATGTTCTATATAAAATGTATCTATATTGTTAAAAACAAGTTATGAAACAGAAACTTGATGCAAATAAATTTGACATTTCTTATTAATATGAGGTTTTAGTCTAAATAAAATGATAACATCATCATTTTATCATGTAATAGAAACATTATTATTTAATTTGACCATATTCTCGTAGTCCTAAGTAAGAGAAAAAAATAAATAAAATAACAAAACCTTACGTAGTTTTTGATGGGCAATGGTTCAGAAGTCAACTTCGACACATAATACAATTATTATTTAATTTAACCACTTTTTCTTAAGTTCTAAATAAAAGAAAACTATATATATCAAGTAAGGAAAAAGTACAAAAGGCGAAGGGCTGGAAATAAAAAATAAATTATTTTTTCTTAAGCTATAAATAAGAGAAAATAATAGAAAACAAGAAAGTAAAAAGTACTAAAGGCAAAGGGTATAAAAGAAAACACAAATTTAATTGCTCTTTTTTAAGCCCTAAGGAATAGAAAAGAGTAGATAACAAGTAAAAAATAAAAAGTTCAAGAGTATAAATAGAAATAAAAATTAAACCGCATTTTTTTTAGCCTTAAGTAAGATAAAAGAGTAGGTAACAAATAAGTAAATAGTATAAAAAGTGAAGCGTATAAATGGAAACATAAATTAACCGCTTTTTCTTAAGTCTTAAGTAGGAGAAAGAAGTAAATAACAAGTAAGTAAAAAATACAAAAGATGAAGGGCATAAATAGAAAAATAAAATAAAATAAAAACAAAAAAAGGTCGACAACTGCCTACTTCATCACATTTTTATTATACTGGATATGGTTTTCAAAATTGTCCTAACAAAATCCAAATATTTTTGTGAGTTCCTCAATGACATTTTTATTCAAGATAATTTTTTATACATGAGACTTTTTTTGGGACATGAAATGTCGAATTTACCTTTTTAATAATTTCTGATTTGGTTTATCTGAATTTACTCTTTTAAGATTTTTAAAGGTAAAAAAGATGTTTGGTTACATGGATAAAGTTTTTTTAAAACATTTAAAAGGTAAATTTGACATTTTATGTCTGGAAAAATGGCCTCAAGGTATCAAAAACTGATTTTTTTTTACACATTGAGATACCAATTTAAAATTATCAAAAATATAGGATACTAAGAGACAATTTCACTATAACACGTAATACCAAATTAAAATTATCCTTGAATAAAAATGTCATTAAAGAGCTCACAAAAATATACAGATTTTGTTATGACAATTTTGGAAATGTCCCCTTATTTATTGCTGACTTTTTATCTTTTACTAGTTTCAGGGATATGTTGAGCATGTATTACCGTGTGTGCCAAGCAATTTATTAAAGAAACTCATTTTAATTTTAAACACATTGCAGTATAAGAGATTAAAAATAGTTAAATATATGTGTAATTTTGGAGGAGGCGCATTTAAAAAAATTATAATTTTTTAAAATAGATGTATCAAAATGTGTATTTCAATCACAATGTATGTTTATGGCGCATGTTGTATTGTCATAAATAAAATTGAACATGCTAAAAAATATATTTTGATATGGAAACATCAAGTAAAAACCTAATTAGAGTGTACATATGAAAAAAAAAAAAAAGAAGATGTTTATATAAGTGCATATTTGAGCATCATTATTTCAACAGTGATTTTTTTGAAATATATAACATATTTAAAAACAAATCAAATATAGTAAAGTAATTAAGGTGTACATATAAGAAGAAGAAAAATGTTTGCTAAAGGATATATTCGAGCAAATATGTTTCAGTGTAATTAATAAGAACAAAAAATTAGTTAAACACATGTAACCTAAAACATATAAAGGATTGTAAGAAAACTACTAGAGTAAGAACATATTTGTAAAAAATATTTTAACTGAGAAATTATAGAAAGAAAAATAATAATGGTAAGAAAATTATGTTTATGGGTTCAAGTTAATGGTTTTTATTTTGTTACAGTATTTTTTCTCAAAAAATATTTGAATTTAAAAAGTTTGCATCAAAGGAGTCCTTCACAAAGTTTGAATATATAATCAAAATCACTAGTTATAACCATGAACGAAACGGGCTCTTGAGTAAGAATACAAAAATATTTTAAATGAGAAATTAAGAAGGAAAAAATAATTTAATGAAGTGGTTTTAAAAATATGTGGAAAAAGTCAAAAAATGAGAAACAACATAAATAAATGGCAAATATGTAAACAAAAAATAATTGAGGATTAAAAAACAAACGTAAGAAAAAAAAACATGCCCGCGTGTCAACCCAACAAGCATAAGCGTTATCACGCTTTTAATATAGGTAGAGAATAGATATATGGTTTAATGTGCCTAGCGTGATGCTTGTGCTCGTGGATATATGTGTGTGTATATATATATATATATATATATATATATTATTCTTGAAAGTAGAGATATCAGATTTTAAAATCTCAATATTCAAGTGTAAAACTGAGAATAGACAACTATTTTAGTGTATATAATTTATAAGTGGTTTATAATTTGTATTTATTACCTTTTGGGTTGTGAGAGAACACTTAGGCCGAGTTTTTACAATTATTTTCAAAATTCGAAGGTGCGTGTGTATTATTTTTGCCCACACATTTAGTTCAAAGAATAAATATTCAAAGTAAATGCACATTTGAGAAATGTTATTTTAGTAGGAATAAATAAAAAAGTAAATAGGTAATTTTAAATAAATAAAAAAAGCAAACTAACCGAAGTACATATTTCAATCGGAACATGTAGTGTTTTAGTTGAATGTTACATATATCATGTAGACAAGTAGAACATACTTGAGGAAAAAAAAAAAAAGGTTTGTAGTAGGCAAGCTAAATAGAAAGTTAATTAGAACGTAAATATGAGATAATAACAATTTAGATGGCCTATGGGAAAGAAAATAATTAAGCAAGGACATCTTTGGAAAAAAAAAATATTTCAACATCGGCAAATTAGGGAGAAATGTTTATGGGAAAATAGAGTATTTGAGAGGACTGTGAGCCAAAAAAAAAAAATCCTATATGTAGGGATGCATTTGGAAAAAAATAATATTTTAGTGGGACAATTAGAAAAAAAAATTACGAAAATTGCTTTTAATATAATAATATTTTAGAGGGTTAAAAAATAACTTATGTGGAATATATTTGTTAAAATTTGTTTCAATATAAGCAAATTAAGGAAGAAAAATTATTTCAATGAGATAAATTTAAGCCCCGTTCATCTTACCGATTCGAGTTTGAAATTCGAGTTTTATTACAGCAAAATACTCTCAGAAACAATCACATCTAACTTTTTTTTGCTATAATAAAAAGTTTTTACATAAAGTCACATCTCAACTCAAATTAAAAACTCGAATAACAAAATTAACAGGCCCTTAAGGATTTAAAAGGAAAAAAAAAAAAAAAAAAGAGCGTCCAGAAAAGCACCTCTCAAGGATGAATGATAAAATAGCGACTCTGATTTCTTTAAATCTCACTTAAAACAGGAGAACACGTATATAGTCAATGGTGAGGTCAAGCAGGAGCTGCCTCCTCCGATGAATTTTTCTTATTTTTTAAAAACAACCTTTAAAAATTTCTGAATTTCTAGTTTTGCCTCACTGAGATACAATTTTTTTTTCATGTATGCCCCACTAAACCTCACACCTTTTTGTTTATATTTGTATACTTCAAGGGAAAAATTTAGTGTATGCCCCATTAAAGTATAAGTTTGTCTCTGTCACTGTATATAATACTTCCAGTTGTATTATTGGAGGAGTAAGTTCGTTGTGTTCATAGTCTGACTATAAGGATTCTTCAATTAGGTCTTATATCTTTTATACTTGAGTTAATGACTGCTAAGTGGCATGCGTTTATAATCAAGCCACAAAATATTTTTATTCTTTCTAAATTTGATAAGAATCCATAAAGTTCTTAGTCTCTATGTTCACAGCATGAACTTACGAACCCTTTTTGCAAAAATGAGACAAAAAAATGATTTTATTCCAGCTTGAAAGGTGAAAACTATGCTATTATAAGTAGACATTCGCTCATTAAAATTGACCTAAGATATACAATTCAACTTGTACGGCCCTAAAATGATTTTTTCTTCAATAGTATAAGCAGGAATTTACAATTTTGAGACAATTCAAAATCTCAAGATGCCAAATTGGTATTTAACATGATCAACTAGGACACTGTTGAGGGGCCAATAAGCGCTCTGGCATAGGACACAGGCAAAGATAGGAATTTCTTTGCTTTTCCTACATAAGCACGCTTTGTGAAGTTGTCATAGTCATTGACTTCAATAGCGTCCAATATCTGTCTATATATTAACAAAGACGCCCACACCGGCCATCTACTTGCTGCATTGAGCTCTGCAACACCCTTCTCAGCCTCTTCAAAGAACATTCTAGCTCGCTTTATTTGGCCCTTCATGAAACTCCGCCACTTGTCCGTTACTTTCCCCCGAAAGATGTCTTCGTCCGAAAGGCCAGCACGCGCGAGTTCGTCTTGTGGGAGGTATATTCTTCCTCTCCTAGCACTGCAATGACCAACTCAACAATGTAAGTCTCAACACACACATAAGCGTGATTGTATAATTCTTCACTACCGAGAGCAAAAAAATCAAAAGAAAAGCGAATCAGAGAATCACACAGAAGGTAGATTCACGTGCTATCAGGACATTAATTAGGTTGCACACACTTAACAGCAACAAGAAAAAAGCCTCAACAACAAAACTAAGAAGTTGGGGGAGTAGTAAGAAAATACTCCACCTATAGTTTTACATAAACTGCAACGAAAGAGTTTTCAAAAAGAAAAGTGGAGTTTTAAATGTATGTAAATTTAAGAAATGTGATATAAAATCAATATGCATAATATAGTTTATGATTTACCAAAAGAATAAAATGGGGGGGTGTTTTCCATTAGGCCTTGTTTCATTTGCAAGATTGAATAATATTTGGAAGGACTATTCTCTTGGATTGAAGGACATTATTTTACCTTGACAAACAATCATACATAATGGTATCCTATTTTGCATATCATATAAGGCGCCAAAAACATGTTGATTCAATAATTCTTATAAAATAAGGAAATAAATAAATGAATTATCGTTATTAGAATGGTTAATCTTACTCTTCTCCAACGTCTCTGAGTATGTTAGTGAGCTGATTAGCTATCCCTAGAGCCAATGCAGCATTGTAAACACTCTCTGTCGAAGCTTTGGATTCCGGAGATATCCCCATTACAGGAACACTCATAAGTCCCACAGTCCCAGCAACATAGTAGCAGTAAAGGTATAGCTCATCAAAGTTCTTGTACCTTGATTTTCTCAAGTCTAGCCTCATTCCTTCTATCATGTCCTTGAAGGGCTGTCCAAACATAACAAAGTTCTAGTAATTTGGAACTTAAGAAAAGCTCTGGTGAAGAAAGGACTAGATGACATTATGTACAATTGTTCTACCTGTATATCTACAGGGTACGTCGAGACAGTATGAGATAGAGCAGCATCATACATGTCGAACGGACGACCTTCGAAAAGATCGGTCAATCTATTCTCCCATCTGTCAAGAGCCTTTGGTGTAATGTGCGAAGCATTAGGCCCGTCGACAAGCTCGTCGGTCCTTCTGCACCACACTGCAGAGAAGAAAAAAAAACAAAAACAAAAAACTGATCAATTCTTGTGAAAATCATGGCAAGAGGAAGTTGACAGTGGCCTACTGAGATCAAAATTCATATTATCTACTCAGTTTGTTGTCTTTTGCCAATCATAAAAAAAAAAAATAAATAAAAAAATAAAAAATGTTTGGTACATATCATTGATACTGAAAAGGGCTTGTTTCTTCCTCCAAATGAGGGGCAAAAAAATTATATAAAAAAAAAAAAGAAAAAACAAAAGGATAATGAGGCTTTTTGGGTCTGGAATATAGCCTTAATTGTTGGACTAAAATGATGACCAAATTTGAAAAACCAAACTAGCTAACTTTTGTTAGACACTGAAATAAAACATATAAACTCAGAAAAATTAAGAGAAAGCCAAATGACCCCAATTGTTTAAACAAAAATATAAGAGTCAATGTAACTACCCCAGAAACTAAACAAACGTTTGTTCAATGTATTCCAATTTTAGTATATTGTCAAATTATATAAGTGGACCGCCACAAACCCCAAAGACAAATTAATAAACAAACATAAAGAGACGCAAGCTTAGAGGGAAAATTAATAGTATTATACGAACCATAAATTGCCCAAATAGCCTTTCGTCGTTCTGGTGTCATGAGCAATGTTCCTGAGAATCAAGGGAAGACGAACACTCAAACTTGTTTTGGCAACTGATAAAAAAATAAAAATAAAAATAAAAATAAGAACAAGGATATGCATAGCTTTGAAAGAATCACCCAAAGCAAATCACTTCGCGAGTCTCAAATTCATGACCGTAATCGAATTCCATTCCAACAAAATCCACATCAACATTTTCTCTTTTGCTTTTAAATTCTCATCAATAATGTTTCTCTAATAGCTGGCACGTTGATAATAGCATTTGGCAAATGACCAAAGTTAACCATGTAAACCTTTTGCTTAAAGGCTAAAAGGTCACAATTATAAAAATAACCTTCTGATGCCAAATTCTCCTCTCTCTCCCTTTTCTTTCTCATTTTCCTTGGCAACCAGACAAGTTGTTTCCGGGAAACAGAGAAAACACAGAACGAAACAAAAAAAAAAAATCTTTTTTTTTCCTCCCTTCTTCTAAAGGGCGAAACAGAAAAGGAAAAAAAAATTATTCGAGTATTATGCATAAAAATAAAAAAATAAAAAAACTAGATAAGAAAAAAAGTGAAGAACTCGAACACGTAACAAAGAGAGAAGAAAATAGTAGGTACCCAGATAAAAGGTCTTGGCGTACTCAGCACAAACCTCACCACAACGGTCGTAAGCTTCATTCAAGAGATCCCAATTGGTGGTTTTATCAGTTTCAATCAACCCCAAAGCTTTTTTCTCTTTGCGGGTGATCCTCTGTTCTCTAACAAGAGCAGCTTGTTTCAGCACAACTTCATACACCTTCTCTTCCGAAGATCTTTGCGGGTTTGCGACTGTTCCAGAATATGCCGAAACCCCACTTGAAAAACTCAGCTTAGAAGCAGAAAATGAAGAAGAAGACCACATTTTGGATCTCCTAATTGGAACTCCATTTCTGGGCAGGAGAGGAACAAGAGAGTTGGTGTTGATTTCTTTAGGACAAACCACCCAAAGAACCACACCAGACATCTCTCAACAACAACAACAACAACAGAATACTACTACTACCAAAATGATATCTTCTCTTCAATTTTGGTGTTCTTTTCTTTGGGTATTGAGAAGATGGATGGTTCTTGAATGGTGATCTTGGGTTGGCAAATGGGTGACCAGTAGTTTTTCCTTTTGCTTTTTTTTTTGTTGGGATTCAAGGTTTTTTTTTTTTTTTTTTTTGGCCGCTTATTTGTTTGTTTGCTCCCCTTCTTCTTTTACCTGCTTGTTACGAGTTTCTTCATTGCTCCTAGTTTTGGTGATTTTGCAAAAGATACGGATATACTCATGATCACAGAAAAGATAAAAAGATAGCGAAATGGAAATATGCTCCACTTCTGTGGGGCTGCCACATGGAAAGATATGGATATGTGTTTAGCGTCTTACAATGGCTGCCCTTTGGTAAGATTACTTTTGTTCGGTCTCACTTTAATCGGTTGAAAAAAAGGAGAGAGGATTAGCTGCATAGATGTTCTATGTCAATATGGCTTTTAATTGCGGAGATTTCTGCAATAATATTTGTCAAAATAAATTACCAGTGAATTTTTATTTTTCAGTTACAGATCTATATTAAAAACTGAATATTTTACTTTTCATTTTCATAAAACTGTGATCAAATTATACGGTCAAAAACATGTATTATCAATTCGAAATTATACTATAGAAGGACCCATTAACTATTTAAAAGTCATTGTTTTACCCAAAAGTGGCCAAAAAATTCCTCACCCGTTTTCGCTGATTCGAGTTTAAAATTCAAGTTTTATTATAGTAAAAAGTTCTCAGAAACAATCACAATTAACTTTTTTGTTACAATAACAAGTTCTCACACAACATCACATCTCAATTCAAATTAAAAACTTAAATTAGTAAACTGAACGGGCAATAAGAAGTAAAAACTTACTTAGAGCTATAAGAAAACGATTAATTATTAACAAAATAATTAAAAAAGCTACCAGCCCAAATCCTCCTCCCCCGATGGCGAACCAGCAGCGCCCAACAAGATCTCCAACATTTTTGTTCTTTTCAATTTTGTGAGAAATATTTTTCTATTACTTTTTTAGTATTTCCCTTTTTACAATTTAAATTTTAGGAGGAGAATTGGATCTACTTATGGCATTTATTCCAAATCACTCCTTATTAATTAAGATTTGAACATGTCATGTCAACTATTTCGTTAGTTTCATAAACGGATTTATACGGAAGGGTATTTTAACTCTTTTACGTAATCGATTGGATGAAATAATATTTTGAAGTCGATTATATAAATTGAAATAAATTCAATAATTTAAAACATATTTTAGTGTTGTCGCCTCAATAGATTGTGTTAGATTGAGTGTATTGCTATGTTTTGCTAAGTCAATTATGGTGTTCTTTGTCACGAAAGAGACTTGTTATTTCTTTAGATTTTAAATACAAACAAAGCATGTTTAGGGGATTTTCTAATATAGAATATTACATGTAGCATGTTTGTCTAAGGATAACATCGTTCTCCATAGAGATAAGTCCTAGAGGTAAGGGTTCGGGCTGTTTGATCCTAAATAGTGAAAAATTTTGAATACCTCTTAAAAGTGCATAGGTTTTAATTTTTATCTTTTATTTTTTATTAATATCTTTTTTGGTCAAATAACAAAAGAGTACACCAAAAAGGATACTAATAAAAAATAAGTGGTAAAAATTTAGAGTGCATAGGTTTTAATTTTTATCTTTTATTTTTTATTAATATCTTTTTTAGTCAAATAACAAAAGAGTACACCAAAAATGATACTAATAAAAAATAAGTGATAAAAATTTAAATTCATACACTTTTAATAGTAAGTTTAGCAATTTTCTCAAAATGTGGGAGGATCAGCTCAACCCACACTAAAGCTTGATGGGGCTAATAGACTTTTATAAGGTAATTTCAAAAAACTTTTTTAAAAAATGGTGTTTAGGCTGGTAAGTTTTTAGGCTCGAAACTTTTACTCGGCCCCAAATTTTGGGCCGACCCCGATTAGTCCAGCCTAAATTTACAGCTCTACCCATCGCTTATTAAGAAAGGAAGAGAAGACTGTTAATGGGATTAAAATGGGGATGGAGAGAACTTCCTATACCAAAGTCAGGGTCATACTAGATCAGAAATGGGAAGAGCACTTACTGCCTCTTGTACTTATTTTAGAAAAATATATACACATATTATTTGTTCTTTAACAATATATATATGACTAACCCTAATGTTAATATTTTTTCTATATGTATTAGTGTTGCAATATTATTTGTTTTCTGAAAACATTAAAATGTTTTTTAAAGTAAAATTTCATTTAACTAAAAAGTCTTGCAGAGATCAATAATAATGCGGATAATTTTATGGTACACAATACAAAACACTCGATAAAATCCGGTTCCATCAGTAAATTATAATGAAGTATAAGGGAGACGATACAAGACGAGACCCAATATCAGAAAAGTTTCATTAAGAGCATGTAAGGCAACCAACATCTTTGTATAGATTCATAACTAGCAAAACTTCTAACTCACCAAGACTTAAATCTGGCAGACAACAAACAAACTCAAATGGATAGGAGAACCACCTCCATTATTATAAATAAAATACTAAAGCTAGACGGAAATATCGACGCCTTAATTAGACTAAAACTAAAACTCAAAGCACAACTGCCGAAAACCTTCAATAGAAGTATAGCCGACAAGAGGACTTTTAGGATAGGAAGAACACTTCTAGGGATAAGCAGCGAAGCTGACGAGATATCTTCAAATAGCATAACGTGAAACACATGCGCCACCACCGTCAACATCTGGAGCCGACACTACCACCTCCAAAAGATGCCCACCATCATTCAGAACATAACCCTGAAAGAGTACAAACACCAGACGAGAAATGTACCAAAAAACGACTCCAAGCTATCTAGATCCTCATCCTCTAAACAAAATCAGATCCAGTCCAATGAAGCCACCCCGCCTTGAAAAGGGCATAACGATACGAGTCTTGTGACCAAATTTCGGGATCGGAATTCCAACGAGGACCCAAAAGCGATTTCGGAATTCTGGCAGACTCACTCTCTTTTTCTCTCCTTCTCATTTCTTTACTAGGGTCGGCTGTGTAATATGAAGCAGGATTAATAATGCTCCTTGCTAATAAATTTCTCTCTTCTTCTAATCCGTGAATACAGATGCAAAATCTAGCTACGTTAGATCTCTATTTTCTCTTCTTTATTTTACTTTCTTCTGTAATTTTCAGGGTGAGAATATTAAATTTTTGATTGAATTTAGGATGAATTTTAACTTATTTTTGTTTCGATTCATAGAAAATTTCGTGAATAATAAACAACGTAACAAAGATTGAGAATAGATATAGGGATTTTCTGATTTTATCCTCGCCTTAGCGCGATAAATATAGGGATAAGGATGGTTTTAGAATGTAAAAATAGGGCCAAAGCACTCGCAAAGAAAAATTTAATTGTGAGACTCCTTATAAAAAAAATAAATAAAATTTATGAACTAATCTATCATGAATTTGAGTAATATTCGTTCGAGCCCCACTAAAATTGATGACTCGGTTAAACTAGTAAAATTTATGAATGGGTCTTATTAATTGTTTTAGGGGAAAAACTATGGCACTATTTATGGTAAGAAGAATTTTTAAAGCCTATTATATTAATGAATACTGTTGTTTTAACCCTTGTATTAGTATTAATTTTTACTGTCACATTTACAATTGGAAGTAATTTTAGGTCCCGCCTCAAAGTTTAATACAAAATCATGCAGATATAACGTCAAAAGTTAATTTAATAGTTAAAATAGTAGTAACGGTATAATAAAAAAGTCTTACCTACTATAAAATTGCCAAAAAAAAAAAAAAAAATGGAGGGTTTTTTTTTTTTTTTTTTTTTTTTTTTTTTTTTTTGGTAACTCTCTTCCAACGTGGAATGCCACCAATACTAGGTAATGGCAAGTGAGTGAGTGGTGAGGAATATGACGTTGGGTTTTGACGAAGTGGAGAAATGGGTTCCACTCGAACTCTGTGAGATGTGCGTTGGACGTAGCCATACCATTCATTCTGCATGCACACGTAAGCCACGTCCTACACTTTTTCTTTATTTTATTTTGTGTGTGTGTTAATGTGCTAGGACACGTTTTTATTTTCTTTTTATTTTCTTTTTATTTTTTATTATTTATTTATGCTTGCTCACAGTCCTGTCCACTACTTGATCAACTGTGGGTTCGTTTGGCTTTTGCTTTTGATCCGTAGAATAATAGAAATAAAAACCTGTGGCTTTTTAGTCGGTAAGCCTTTAGAATCATATTTTTAAAAGAGTTTAATTGAGTCAAAATAGTTTTTATATTTTCTAATAAGTAATAAAAATGTTATAATACTTTTAAAAAATGCTATAATAAATCTCGTTTAATGCCTGATATAAAATTTTAAATTTCATTAGCTGCTTTTAGTTTTCTAAGACCATAAGTTGCTTCTGTTAATGTTTGGAAGCTCTATAGAAGTGTTTCGACTTTTTTTGAAGAATTTTCAATTAAAGTCACAAACAAAATGTGTATTCTAAAAAAAAAATCTTAAAAATAGTCTTTTGAAACTTGTACTTGAGTTTCAATTAGATACTATAAATTTATTTTAATATTTTTATTGTTTATTAAAAAATTAAAAAATCATTTTAACCTATTCAAGTGATTTTTAATATGGTTTCAAACGATTTTTATTGTTTAATATGTTTAGCAGAAGTGAAAAGTACGAGGAAAGAAAATAACGAAAGAATTTTTTTTTAAAAAAAATAGAATTTTAAATTGTTTGATAAGAGAAAAAGAATTTTTTTTAAAAAAAATAGAATTTTAAATTGTTTGATAAGAGAAAAAATCATGAGAGGGAAGAGAAAATTATATGAAAGAAAGGACACATGAGTCCTGTCATTTTTTATCTCTCCAAAACTGAGAAATTGTATTTGTATGAGTTTAAATAGTTAAATTACGTTTTTGTCATTATTTTAAAACAAAAATAATATTAAAAAATTAGTAAAATCGTAATTTAATTAAACACTCATTTTCTTTCTTCCTACCACACCAAACAAAATAGAGGAGAGCCAACTTCTTTTTTCTCATTCACATTTTCTTTCGTTTGTATATTTTCTTTTCCTCCCTTTTCCATTTCCTCCTACGAAACGGAGCATTAATAAAAGACTTTTTTTTACTTCTCATCATTTGTCGCTTAAAAACAAAAGCAAAAGTTACTAAACAAGCCTCATATATAGTGGGCTAAATGCAACTGAGCATCAAGTGCTAGAAGGTCAAAAAAACAGAAGAAATTAGATGACCCTCAAAATAAAGAACCACAAGTCAAGATAATAATTTTTACCGTTCAAATTCGAATTATAGGTAAGAAAAGCATATATATGAAATTGGCGCAAATCTAAAGTAAATTTTAATTAATCAATTAAATGAGATAAAATATTTTGAGAGTAAATATTTCACGATGACCAACAAACTGTCAACTGGTGTTAGGGTTTTCAACCGGTTACCTTGTCCATTATTTATTGCTCTCTCTCTCTCTATTGCGTTGTGTACCTTGTCCATCATTTATTCCTCTCTCTCTATTACGATGTGTTTTATGTGATTTTTTATAAGAGCTTCTCTAATAAAATAAAAATAAATAAATCACCAGTAATTTCTCACTTTCAGTCTTTATATATGTATTAAAAACTATATGTTCCCAATATTTTTTCATTATGATGTGATTTTGATCAGATTTATCGCTCAAAATTTGGACCTTATCGGTAAGAAGGCTCTACAAGACAAACTCCCTATTAGTAATCAATTTTCAACAGTCAACACAAATTATATTAAGAATAATGCTAGGTACACCAACTTAAATCCCAAATTTTATATACTAACTTATGTAACATGTTAGTTGTCATTTTTATATTAGCGTGTGTTTAAAATATTGCTACGTCAATTATGAGAACTCACATATTACAATTAAAAATATGAGAACTCACATATTACATCAGTTGATACATAAAAATTGAGATTTAAGTTGGTATCTCTAATTATTAGGATTACACTTGAGTTAAGATGAATTAAAATAAATGAATAGATAAAAAATAACCTCAAACAATTTTCACTTTAAGAGGCGCTCACTAGTATTACCTTTTCGGATTGCGATCAAACTCTGTGACAACCCCACATCAGATATCAGGTAAGAAAAATACTGGAAAGGGGACGATGCTCAAAGCAACCAAATACAAATATACTCATTTTCCAATCATAAGTTATAAATATATGTCAAATTATTGAATTTATTTCAAATGTGGAAGTGTGTGATCAGCGGATCGTGTATAACAAAATTTTTATAAAACTTTGATATACCTATAGATTACATTAATTTATGCACGAATAAATTAATCAAATTAATTTATTTATCTAGTGACCAATTAGGATGATATCTTGATATCTTTGGCCTCAAACATTCCTCGCTCCCATCTAGTTTAGAACACCAGAATCTTCATCGTCAATTTCTTGAATCTACGAAGACGTGTGTGTGGGCACACCTAAAATAAAACTGGATTAAAAACAAAACACTTAAGTTTTTCACGAACACCGACACATGCACGACGTGGAATTTGGGGGAAAATTTTTCCTTTCCTCACTCTATAGAATTCGGCCACCTATGCTAGGGAGAGCAAAAAATTGTGTCTAACAATTTTCTACAATCTCTTATTTTATATAGTAACAGTCAGACTCCCAGAAGGAAGCTTATCTTTATCTCTAAGATAAAACTTGTTAATTATCTCTCACTTTAAATTTAATTTTGAAACAAAATCTACTCTCTCCCTTATCCTATATGGCCGGCCACCACAAAGGGAATTCCTCCCTGTGGTAGGCGCAATTATACGGATAAAGAATATGACAAAATTTTATCCTACAGTCCAATTTTTAACTTAAATTCAAATTTCAATTTAAGTCAAACTTAAATCAATTTGATTTTCAAATTGGACAACTTATCAAATAAGTTAATTGGATAACTATGGAGAGCAAGCAATTTAAATCCCAAAGGGATTCATACTGTCTTGTGCATTCACACTATGTAAACACATTCACATGTGTGTTTCAAATTTTAAATTTAAATTTAAACTTAAATAATCATATTATTTAATTTATAATTAATTCTCAATTAATTATCCTTAAGCATTTTATTTTAGAATTCCATAATTATAAAATTCTCATTTTGCCCTTAGTGTCTTGTAGAATTACAAGAACGATGCGGAGACTTATGGACCTATAATTCTGAGCTCCAATAAAATTAATAATTAATTAAACTCTTTAATTAATTCATTAATTATATTAATTCCAATAGTTATTCCACTATAAACTTGGATATGCACTCTCGTAATTATAGACATAAATTACTTTTAAACTGTGAAGTGTCCATTTGATATTGTCATTGCATATAGATCAATCCTCCATAAATAATTCATAATTAGAGTTAGGGGAAATCTGTTAACCTCTCTAATTACGTATTTATCCTTGAATACCATGATTCTCTAATGGATAGTGATTCATAAAACAAATTCATGAATCAGAGCTCCTACTGGTACAAGTACCGAATCAACCCTCAAGAGAATTATTTATCTACTTCTTTCTCAAGAATGAATGGATTCCATCGCGTATAATAACATTCTCAGCTACCCACTTCTTCATGTCTTCAAAATACAAGAAATGGGATTCAGGATCTCAAAATACGTATCAAGTAAATCAAAATACACAAATCCATATATATGAGTCTACTAAGAACTCAAGATTAAGATCATTCTATATATGACTATCGGTAGACTCAATTAGAATTTCTATACTTAATGAAAATTATTTGAAATTCATATTATGTCTATGTCCCTGTTTCATATAATCTCATTATGTGTAATACACTCATTCAATATCTCACCATATTAATAGTGCGGATAACACCGTTCCATTCCAAATGGGAATGAACTATATTAATAATGTTTTAATTAAAAAATACAAATTTAAATTTAAATTCATTACGAATGTCGTTTTGATTATTATCCTTAAATATTACCCTCTCACATATAACACTTATATACAATATTTAAGGTCACATAAATAATAATGGAATTTTCCCTTAAATATTACCCTCTCACATATAACACTTATATACAATATTTAAGGTAACATAAATAATAATGGAATTTTCACTAATATTCATTAATATTCATTAATATATGCACATAAAATAATGAATAAACTCTTTTATTAAATAAATAATAAATATCATATTACATCTCATGCTTTTAGGACATCATTCTCAACCTTGTGACAACCCCACATCAGATATAAGGTAAGAAAAATACTGGAAAGCGGACGGTGCTCAAAGCAACCAAATACCAATATACTTGTTGTCCAATCATAAATTATAAATATATGTCAAATTACTGAACTTATTTTAGAAGTACACGTGTTTAGATTTTTACCTTTTATTTTTAATTAATACCTTTTAACTAATATCATATTTGATTAAAAGGGTGTTAATCAAAAGTGAAGAGTAAAAATTAAGACTCCTATAGTCTAAAAAGATATTTTTCTCATATATACATGGTTGCTCTCCAATTACATGACGCAAAGTATGCGGATATTACTTGTGTCATCTTTTGAATGAATAAATAAATTTTTTTTTATTTAGTTCGTTGATTTGAATTTTTAATTTGAGTTAAAATGTGAATTTATGTGAGAGTTTTTTACTGTAATAAAAAAGTTAGATGTGATTATTTCTTAGAGCTTTTTACTGTAACAAATATCAAATTTTAAACTTAAATCGGTGAAATAAACGGGACTAATAAACTATATAGTGAGGTTGCGGTATACAATAAAAAAATCTTCCTGATGGAAAATTTTGAAACTGTACATTGGTCAAAGGACTCAAGGGGACAGCTCAAGCGTTGCCTGAATAGTAGGGTTTTTTTTTTTTTTTTTTTTTTGAAGCTTTGCCTGAATACTGTTATGCATGATGTTTCAATGTATCCAGATTTTTATAGATGAAAAAAAGATTTTCTCTAACAGAGCCTCTCCACTGACAGGCTCAGTTTTTTACCATTAAATATAGGCAAAATCACGTGAAATTAAAAAATTATACAAAACGGATAATTTTTGGTACAAATACGAGAGTTAGAAATGAAGTACTTTCAATAGATCATTTCTTCAGTTATGACCTTTCTAGTTGATTATATTTTACACAGCAAGTAACGGATTTATTGGTATTAGTACATAATAAATTTCCTATTTAAAAAAAAAATAGTTATTGAGTACTAGTAGTACTAATTTGATCCTGGGAATCGTTTAGATTACATAATATACAGTAAATAATAAATCTACAGTCATTTTCCTCAATTGGACAAAAAGCCAGCCATTTTACTTCGGTGGGTGACTTTGCAGAAATTTCCCTAAATTTTGTGTACTATTTCCGCATAAAGCAACTTTAGTTCAATTATACATAATACATGATCCACGTGAATGCCCATGAACGATTGATGATCATACGAGGATGTTGGAATTCATGCACTAACAAAATTGAAGTGAAAATTGATCTTTGTTTAACAGAGAAAAATTGATCTAAGATTTACAAAATTTCAGCAGAAATTTACTATGAACATTTAATTTCAATATTTGTCAGCAAAAATTCACAATTTGGGACAAATTCAAAAAACTCCATGAAGATATCAAATTTGACTCTAATTGTGTGACCAACTAAGCAGTTTGTGAGGATCCCATAATTGCTCTGGCATAGGCCACGGGAAGGGATAGGAATTTCCTTGCTTTTCCTACATAAGCGCGCTGCGTGAAGTTGTCATAGTCATTGGCTTCAATAGAGTCCAATATTTGTCTATATAGTAATAAAGATGCCCACACTGGCCATCGACTTGCCGAGTTGAGCCCTGAAACGCCCTTCTCAGCCTCATCAAAGAACATTCTAGCTCTCTTTATTTGGCCCTTCATAAAACTCCGCCACTTGTCCGTTACTTTCCCACGGAAGATGTCTTCATCCGATAGGCCGGCGCGTGCAAGTTCATCTTGTGGGAGATATACCCTTCCTCTCCTAGCGCTGCCATGATCAACTCAACATTATCACAACATTCAGGGCATGTTTACCGAGCCGTAATAAAAATGTAAAAATGAATATTAATGGGAATTATTGATTCTCTTTTTGGTTTTTACTAGTCAAAAAATGCGTATTCTATGCACGTAATTCATTTAAAACAACGGTTATATAAATCGTTAAAAAAACAAAAAGAGAAAGAAGAAAAAAAAAGACAAAAGAAATAAAGATAAAAGCATAAAAAAAGATCTAAAGCAAAAAGTAAGAAAAAAAAAAGAGCCCAAAACGTATTTAAAAAAAAAAAAAAAGCCTCTCCCCTCTCCCCCAAAAAAAAAAAAAAAAAAAAAAAAAAAAAAACCCCCCCCCCCCCCCCCAAAAAAAAAAAAAAAAAAAAAAAAAAAAAACATTTCATGCATGCCTTTTCGCAAATTACTAAGGGAGAAATTCGCCCTTAGTGATGTAGTATAGATAGTATAAATTTATCCATTTAGAATATGAAATTAAAAATAATCCAATTTCCTTTCCAATGCTATTAAATATAAGAATAGAAATCTTATCAATGTAATTAGCAAAATATACTTTTACATAATTATAAATAATCTTTGGCTTATTATATGAGAACTTATTAAGGTTACATAAATAAATTTGACATTACTTCCCTTTAACCTAGATTCAATATTAAGGAGTGCAAGGATTAGTATCCACTTTCTCTCATTTCTTATATTTGTGAAAAAATGATTAGAAGCACTAATGGATTCAGCTCCACAATTAATAGAAAGTAAGTCCGATTATAGATCCATGTTGTTGGACTCACTTTCTATTAGCGTGTAGTGTTGAGCAGCACCTATACCCTTAGCATTGTTCATATTCATATAGGGCCCAACAAATTACAATTCCTAATTACGAAAGTAGACGCATAATTAAATGGGAAAGGGAGCACATCTTTTTCCCTTTCGTTTTGACGTGAAGCAGATACACCCTTAAAGCGAGATCAAATCCATAATTTATTAAACTGGCTCATAGAAAAATATCATAATAACCAAAAAGGAACAGAGTTAATAAGTTTATTCCACAATGCCGCACTTTTTAATATGATGCTGAAATCCTAATTCAATAGAAGATGTGCACAAGAAACTTACTCTTCCCCGACGTCTCTGAGTATGTTAGTGAGCTGATTTGCAATCCCAAGTGCCAATGCAGCATTGTAAACACTCTCTGTTGAAGCTTTTGATTCCGGGGATATCCCCATTACAGGAACACTCATAAGTCCAACAGTCCCAGCAACATAGTAGCAGTAAAGGTATAGCTCATCAAAGTTCCTGTACCTTGACTTTCTCAAGTCTAGCCTCATTCCTTCTATCATGTCCCTAAAGGGCTGTCCAAAGAGAAAACTCTTAAAAATTCACTTATGGTAACATAAGACACGTTCTACCTAACTGCAAGTAGGTGGATCAATAACCATGGTTTTTTCATGACATATAGTCAGGTTGTACCTGTATATCAACGGGATAATTTGAGACGGCGTGAGATAGAGCGGCATCATACATATCGAACGGGCGACCTTCAAAAAGATCACTCAACCGTTGTTCCCATCTGTCAAGAGCCTTGGGTGTGATATGTGAAGCATTAGGTCCATCCACTAGCTCATCTGTCCTTCTGCACCACACTGCATACTCAACAACAGTCTTCAATTACCATCCCAAATCGTTGAGCACGCCCAAAATTACTTGTTTTCATCAAATATCAAAAGCAAACAAAATAACCAAGACGCACTAACTTATGCAAATCAGACTGAAAGGATTTATCTTTCCTTTTTGTCTAGCCTTTCCAGGCATAGAATTATGCCTAACACACTGGTTCAATAACACTTATTTTTTCTTTTAAATTGTCATTGGTTTTCAAATGACCTCCTTTTGCATAACACAAAGAACAATGATTAAAATTTGGTTTAACTCCCCCAAGCAAAATAGACATGTATTAAAATTCATTTGATTGGTAAATTAAGATTCTGTCGTCGATTCGAGTTTAAAATTTGAGTTTTATTTTAATAAAAAATTCTCAAAAACAGTCGTATTTAATTTTTTTATTATAATAAAAAATTCTCATATAAAATCACATCTCAACTTAAATTAAAAATTTAAATAAACGAATTAAACCGACCTTGAGTAGTGGCAAGTGGACGAACAACAAACCTGACAGACAAAAAATAAAAGGCAAGCTTAGTGGGAATAGTCATACGAACCATAAATTGCCCAAACAGCTTTTCTCCGTTCTGGTGTCATGATTAATGTGCCTGAGATTCAAAAAAAAAAAAAAAAAACGAATTAAATTTCCCAAAATATATTGTTCAAATATCATTGAATTCAATAGTAAATAGTAATAGATTTGCTATAATATGACCAAATAAAATTGTGTGCCTCTGCTCAAAGACAAAGGCTCGTTGACTATGTTTATATCACTACACAAGTCCAAATTTTCGAGTTATTTTTCATTTTTCTCAGCAACCAAACAATATTGCCAGTGGGAAACAGCAGCAAGTACACAAACGAAAGACTTATTTGAAAGATGATAACTTTTTGTTATTTTTGAAAGTCGAAAAGAGATATTGAAAAAAGTAATCATAACAATAATAAACTACTTTATGACGCACATAAAAAGAAATATATATATATATATATATATATATATATATATTGAAACGAAAGGGAAAAAGAAAAAGTACCCAGATAAAATGTCTTAGCGTACTCGGCACAGACTTCGCCACAGCGATTAAAAGCGTCTTTTAAGAGATCCCAATTGGTGCTTTCATCAGTAGTCGTTTCAACGGTTGGATTAAAGTGCAAAGCTTTGTCTTTGTTGTGTGTAATATTACCATTATTGTTACTAATACTTTGTTCTCTGACGAGAGCGGCTTGTTTGAGCACCACTTGGTAGACCTTCTCTTCGGAAGATCTCGCTGGGGTTGCCACCGTGCCCGAGAACGCCAACGCTTTAGAAGAAGAAGAAGAAGAAAAAGAGCACGTTTTGGATCTCCTTATTGGAACTCCATTTCTGTTCACAAGCCTGCTCAGCAAAAGGGTGGTGGTGGTGGTGGTCTCTTTGGGACAAACCCCCCAAAGAACACCACTAGACATCTCTCTCTCTCGACCAGTTTTTTTTATTTTTTTCTTTCTGTTTGGAGGGAGGCTCCTAATCCTATCGCTCACTTTTTTCTGGTTTGAATTTGGTTTTCTTTTTGCTTTTTTCTTGACTTATATATTGCAAAGTTACTCAACGAATGAGAGTTGAATTCAACGAAGGTGCTCCACACCTCTCAACGGCTGACACATGGAAGTATGGCACTGTGTGGGCAGGAATACCGTCTTGACATGTAATTCACACCCCTAGGCCCAAATTCTTTAAATAATGACAATTTAACCGTCATTTTTTAATTTTGATAAAATGATAGACCTTCAAGATTAGGCCAGCCTAGATCATTATTGTACCCGAACCGGCCCAGTCTGAAGTATTTTTTTTTAATTTTTTCTTAAATTTCATTTATATTTCAACTCTAAAAATGATTCTTAAATTTTGTAAACTTGACCATTTTCATTAAATTCTCATGGTTTCCCTCCACATGTCCCTATTTTTTGAGCATCATGGGAAACTCACATGGAGTTCAATTGAGGAAAATCGGAAAAGTTGCTGCATTTAATTATAAAATTAGGGTTTTTCATCAAGTAATTTTTTTGTTGCAATAGGACACCGAATTGAAACTACAAAGTACGTAGGCAAAAAAAAATAAAGATAAACATCATAAAACAAAAAGGCATCGGTCTCTGAGGTAATAAAGCATCAATAATACCATGGCTACCTCACTGTTGTCAATGGTTGCAGAATCCAAGTTCAATTCGAGTTATGGAAGCCACCAGCATCAAAAGTCCCAAATTTTCCTCTCTCTTAGACGTTGAAATCAAACCCAAATAAAACGCTAATCTGCCATATCGAACAAAATTGATTATAACACGTGGCCTCGTTCACTTCGCAGATTCGAGTTTTTAATTCGAGCTGAGATGTGACATTTTCTGAGAGCTTTTCACTGTAGCAAAAAAAGTTGATGTGACATTTTTTGAGAGCTTTTTACTGTAGAAATCTAAAACTAAAAACTCAAATCGGTGAAATGAACGAGACCCAAATTGATTCCCGCGATTAATCAAATAAGGGTATTTTGGACTTTCTCGGGGGAAAATAACATGTGATAGGTCACGTGGAAGAAATCGTGAGGAAGTCGACAGAACTAGATAGAAAGTTTCAAATGTAAATGCTTACAGAGTTGGGAAGGTATTTTGCCAAAATTAAAATAAGAAAATGCAAGTCATCAAATATCACCTACTAAACACCTTGGAGACCAATAATACCAGTTGCTCTTTTTTCATTAAAAAAAAAAAAAAAAAAACAAGATTTCTGACTAGTAATTAACAAAAGAAAATATATTCACCCAAAAGACACACACACACACGCAAACACTATTGGCCTCTAAATCTTTCCCTCTCACTTGCAACTTGTAATATATATACCATTCATATTCTTAAATTCTGCATTGTCTTGAAACATCAGTTAAATTTGGATGGAATATTGCAAATGTATTGAAAAAAAAAAAAAATTTAAATCAAATTACTTTCTTCAACTAGTGTCTCAATGAACTCGTCCAAAATAATATTTTGTTTTCTTTTTTACTATTTTCCCCTTCTTATCTAACATAACTGAACCGATTAGATCTCTATAAATACATGGTGCGTCTGTTCATGCATGTGCATATATATATATATATATATATATATACACATATATATATTAGGCCCCGTTCGGGGTTGCTGCGGCAGCCCACAAAAGCACTTATGTCAGAATTTTGTGGGTAAAAAGGTGTTTGGTAACTATGTCCAGGGCTAAATTATTTGACAAGTTACTGCTCCTAACAGCAGATTTTAAAACCTGCTCAGACCAGCTTTTGGATTCTACTTACGGAAGAAACCGTGCTAGAGCTTGTCAATTGAAGCTTCAGTTCCTAAAATGCCATAATAAAATTATATTACTAAATTTGCCCTCCTGACTTTTTCCAGAAACCCTCTTTTCTTTTATATCAATATATATATATATATATGTATATATGTATAGATTGGGTTTTAAGAAGAAAGATCGCATGAAGATCCTTAAAATACTATTGGCCCCCATAAAATCTAAAACTTTTCGGTGCAATTATATAGCAAAATTTAGAAAAAAAAAATCATTTTATTAACTTTTTATGATATAAATATAACAATTTATCTCCATATTTATGGTCATTTTAAAATCTACAACAATAATTTAGAATTATCATTTATCAATCATTTAAACACAACTCTAATTAATACGACAACATTTTTAAAATACAATTTACTAAACACTAAATTGCTTTTTATTACATGTGATTTTTCACCTAACACAGTTAAAAGTAATTACCATTGCAATACTAAACCAGCGTAGGACAAGCTACTCTGTACCCACGTAATAAAATCAATATGTGCTATATGACATTCCAATAGAATTGTGGGGGAAAAAGCACGGATCAAAACACAAACATATACACAAAGAGACATGATTTTAATACTTGGACGCAAAGCAATACGTGGTTTTATTTAGTTTTAATGTTTCTGGACATTAGATTAATGACAAAGGTTAATACGGATCTAATAATCTAACGGAAACCTATTAATAAGCTAATTTTTATATACTACAGTAAAATTTCAATAAAATATAGGAAAAAATCACTTTATACCCTATTATAATTTGGGGAAAAAAATATTTTTAATATACTCTGTAATTGATAACATTGAGACAGTAGCTTGATGTTTTAAAAAATATCATCTTAATATTTTGAAACCTTGTTTAAGATATGAAATATCTTTTCTACCATTTTTTATTTTTATTTTAATTGTCTGAAATTAGGAAAAAGGACCGGAAGTATAAGTAAAAGAGAAAAATGGTTAAACGGCATTTCATATTCAAAGAAATAGTTTTAGCTAGATACCAAAATGAAATCTTTAAAATATAAGGGTATATTATTTTAATATTAAAAAAAGACATACTACTATTCGAAAAACACAAGGTTCCCTAAAGTATATCCTAAACATTCACGTGTCTGATGTACTAAAGTAGAAGATATCAGGGCCTGTTTAGTTCGTTGATTCGAATTTTTAATTCGAGTTGAGATGTGATTTTATGTGAGAGCTTTTTACTGTAGCAAAAAAGTTAGATGTGATTATTTATGAGAGTTTTTTACTGTAACAAAACTCGAATTCTAAACTCGAATTAACGAAATGAACGGGGCCTCAATGTTTAGGATTGGATTGAAAGCAATCATATTGATTTTTCAAAAAGAAAAAAAGAAAGAAAATGATTATGTTGAGTAGTATCTTATGCTTGGTAGGAATTGTGAACTTATGTCCTATCTCATTCCTTATCGCGCACTCCAAACATATACCAAAGGCATATCTTCATGGTTCAAAAAAAAAAAAAAAAAAAAAGGGATGTGCGTTCAACAGTTCAATGGCTTCCCCAACTGCTGAACAATGAACACTCTCCACGGCAGCAAAGAAAAAGTGCCGATTGATCGCTCGAGCTCGATCGTTCAAGAAGATTTGGGGACATGAATATAGTATAAATGGCTACAAGTAAGGCACGAAAATGAAGAGTGACCCGTCATTTTGTTTGAACATATTGATCACTCGTTCATTGTCGCCACTTTTCTCTCCTTGTCCTTTGCATGCATACATATGTCGTTTATGTTGTTATTCGATGTTGAATAGTACACACGCATGTGTATTTCAGTCTCATTCCAATTACGGGCCCACTTAAAACCTAGAATATTTCAGCATCGCACAAGCATGTACTTGTGAAAATTTTTCTGATGATCCCTACATAGAAGTGCGGGTGAATATTGATCACATGTGCGTAGGTGCATGAAGATATGGATTTGTTTTGTGACCCTTCCCGTGTCCCCTAATTAATATCATATCTTGTCAATTAAAATATTTGAAGTCACATAGAATTTTAATTCATGTGGCATAATAATTTAATTGATATGACATTATTTGATTGGTGAAAAATGAAAGAGATATAATTGTTCAATTTGAATAATATATACATATATATACAATTAGTTACATTTTGTTAAAGTATAAAACTATTGTTGGCCCACCTCCTAACAACTTAAGCTTTTGGGATGGATTGGTAAACTAACATGGTATCAGAGCGGGAGGTCCTGAGTTTAAACCCCCGTAATTTTACTCTTTATCCCCATTTAAAATTGTCATCATGTGTTGGGTCTTAATATATCTCGAGTTCAAATATTCACGTATTGAGCTTTCTAATTAATTTACCCACACGATTGCGTATTGTCCAGCCCAAATGTGAGGGGGAGTGTTAAAGTATAAAACTATTGTTAGCCCACCTCCTAACAACTTAAGCTTTTGGAATGGATTGGTAAACTAACACATTCATAATCGTAATAACCTAATTAGTGTCTTCGTTAGCCTAATAAAACCAGCAGAGATAGTGGCTTGTATTAGTTGCTTTTTGGTTGGAGGAATTATCTCCCCCGTAACTTGTCTGTTGATTAATAACACTTGCTATTTTTATTAAAAATAAACAAACATTGTAGTAAAAAAAAAAAGTACTTCAATAATTGAACTAGTTATAACGGGCAAAAACATCTTTGGTTTTTGTATTTCTACGTTGTTCACATAAGTCCATGTACATATGTCATGTATATATACAATTAGAAAATCCTTGATGATGAGCCAAACAACATGTGGGAATGCTTACACCTTATTATTTGGCCGAACATTATAATCATTAGTTTAAAAACCATGATATTATACTGTTAAACTAAAAATTAATCATGAATACATAAACCATTAACAAATAAAAAAAAAAAGTCACGTGTATATAAACAAAATTCATTGATCACCACAAAGTTAATGTACATAAATTATGGACGTCAAACATGACATGAAGAGGCACAAGTTTAAATGGGGGGCGGGTCTGGGAACATATGGGAAGGTCTTACTTCTGATATATGGTTCAGAGCAACGACAAACAATCATAAGTTTTTTTTTTTTTTTTTTCCTTTGTTGTTTGCTCTTTTTCGAAGAAAATAATTCCTTTCGCATATGTGAACAGAGAACGTGA